CAGGAGGTTGAGCTACATAAACCTCTTCATTGATGTATCTGTTTAGCAAAGCATTGTTTACATCCATTTGAAATGATTTGAAATTTTTAGCGTATGTGTAAGCAAGCAAAAGAAGTATAGCCTCGAGTCGGGCAACAGAAGCATAATTTTCCTCATAGTCTATGTCGTCCTCTTGGTTATACCCTTGTGCAACTAAGTACGCTTTATTTCTTATTATGACTCCATTTTCATCAAGCTTGTTTCTAAACACCCATTTGTAATACCCTAATTTTTAACCCTAAGATCCCACATTTCATTTGCATATTATTCCACAAACAAGATCATACTTTTGGCTTTCGCACCCTTGTATGTTTCTTACTTTCTTTTTGTTGTTTATGTTTACTAACATCTAACCAAAATACCAAAAATATTTTACAATTTTTGCTTGTTTCTTTTTCTCTGTGTGATTAAGGTTTTGCAGGAAGATTCATGGCAAAGGAATGACTTGGAATTGAGTGTGGCTATTCATGTGCGGTTAAGGTCAAACTATGAAGGGATTACTTCATTTGCAAATATCTGTATCAGTGGTCTATTTTCTCAAGAGATGATTATTCAAGGTCAAGTGGTCTTATGGAGAATCATCAGTTTATCAAGCAGTGTTTTATGTGAAGTGTGGTCCAGGTTATCATGATCAAGGGTCCATCAAGGAAAACTATGTTCACTTGTGGATTTATTTTCCCATAGATGGATTCAGGCCAAATTCAAAGTGATTCAACACTTATTCTATTACTATCAGAGATTCAGAGAATTATGTTAATGGCAGATGTTTCAGTTGCAAGTTATCAGTGGTTCAGGAATGGCTTCGTTCATTATAATCTGATGTTTATGTGGAAAGTATTGGTGGAAGTGTATATCTCTTTTTTAATCCATTATCCATTATTTTCTAACCAACTACCCAACTACCCAAATACCCAATAACCAATTTTTCATATCCATTATCCAAAATTCATTTAATCCACTTCATTCACATTTTTTCCTTATCCAAATGATTCATATCCATATTTTTCATACAATTTTCAATGTCCATTTAAGTCCAAGAACAAAATAGGTACAAATAACACACATACAAAGGCCATGTCATTAATATTGTTGTAGTGCAAACAAAATGAATGCATTGCTGCAGTTTCTGCTGGTATTGGAATACTTATTCATTCCAGGAAAATCTCCTAGTGGAATCTCTTACTGGAATTGAAAGTCAAACTGAAAAAGAATTATTGGATATCTTAAGATGTGTTATTGAGAACAGTAAACAACATTTCAATCCAAGTTACCGACTTCAAGTTTGTGGCAGGATTCTTGAGGCTGCTGCTTCTGCGGTGTGCACATTTGATATTCCTCTCGAAACTCTTTTGATCTTCATTTCAGCATTACCACACGAATTTACGGATTATGTTGGCAAACTAAGGTCTACTGAAGCAGCTGAGGGTGTTGAAATCAGCAAATGTTGATGGTGTTATGGTAGACTGCTGGTGGGGAATAGTGGAAGCACATACTCCACAAGAGTATAATTGGAATGGTTACAAGAGACTTTTTCAAATGGTGCATGAGCTTAAACTTAAGTTGCAGGTTGTCATGTCTTTTCATGAGTGTGGAGGCAATGTTGGTGATGATGTTTGTATTCCCTTGCCCCACTGGGTTGCTGAAATTGGTAGGAGCAATCCAGATATTTTTTTCACTGATAGAGAGGGAAGACGCAACCCTGAATGTCTTTCTTGGGGAATTGATAAGGAACGTGTTTTGAGAGGTCGGAATGCTGTGGAGGTTTATTTTGATTTCATGAGAAGTTTTCGGATAGAGTTTGACGAGTATTTTGAGGATGGTTTTATCTCGCTGATTGAAGTTGGACTAGGTCCATGTGGAGAGCTAAGATACTCATCTTGTCCAGTAAAGCATGGTTGGAGATATCCTGGTATTGGTGAATTCCAGTGCTATGATCAGTATATGTTGAAAAGTCTTAGGAAAGCAGCAGAAGCAAGAGGCCACACTATTTGGGCTAGAGGGCTAGATAACGTTTTTTCTCAACTGGTATTCTTAGGCTTTAGTTGATCATGGAAACCGGGTACTCTCTTTGGCAAAATTAGCTTTTGAGGGGGCCTGCATTGCTGCAAAGCTATCAGGTATTTATTGGTGGTACAAGACTGCTAGTCATGTTGCTGAATTAACTGCTGGGTATTATAATCCATGCAATCGTGATGGCTATGCTGCAATTGTTGCAATGTTAAAGAGAAATGGAGTTAGCTTAAACATTGCTTGTGTTGACCTGCACGCATTGAATCAACATGAGAACTTTCCAGAGCCATATGCTGATCCTGAACGATTAGTTTGGCAACTGTTGAATGTCGGGTGGGATGTTGGACTACCCGTCGTCAGTGAGAATGCACTTCCTTGCCTAAACAGAGTTGGCTATAATAATGTTTTGGATAATACCAAGCCCGTGAATGATCCAGATGGAAGGCACTTTTCTTCCTTTACATACCAGAGGCTCAGTCCACTTCTTCTTGATCGACAAAACTTCATAGAGTTTGAAAAATTTGTCAAGAAAATGGATGGAGAAGCTGTTCTTGATCTTCAGGTATAACAAGCAAGAAATCCATAATTATGCTCAACCTTATCACCCTGATTTGCAGTTTTTATTAAGCACCTATCATGAATCTAATCACTCATATTTGAAGAGAAACACAGTTCGAGACTTGGCATTTCAGAAGTGTGAGGGAGAGTTCTAAACAGTTGTTGCCAAACTTGTTCACAGGCTGTCCTCCTCCGCCGCACAGCTGCAGCTTACAATTCCAATGTTGCCAATGGTGAGATGGAGGTTGCTGAAGCTCTGGTGAATGATGATGTGAGTGTTTTGGATAGAATTATTGGTCGTGCGAGGTTGTTTCCTCTTCATTTAGCAGCTGTCAATGGTCGGATCGAGGTGCTTTCCATGTTGTTGGAGAAGAATGTTAAAGTTGATGTCTTGAATCGCCATAACCAGACGCCGTAAATGTTGCTATGATGTTTCAAAAGATGGAATTCTGGAAGTGAGCTGATCTCTCTGATGGAAAAGAATAGAATAAGAGCAAGTTTCGGCAAGTGATAGTCAGTCTGTATCCACAGGGATTGCTTCTAATATTGCGAGTGATGCGGCAACAATTTTAGTGGATGTAGACACAGTCGCAAGCAGTAGCAAGGAGACTAATCTGAATGAACAACTCATGAATGAACCACAGGAGATTCCCTGCATACTGGAGAGAGTTCGTTTCTTGTGCTCTTTGTTGAATATTATTGAGCACATGATGGTGGAATTGTAACTGCTCTTTTTGCTGTAACTTTAAGTGGCCTGGGATTGAATCAAGCAACAACAAATTTCTACTCCTTTGAACAAGGGTGGATAGCTGCTTATAGATTATTTGAGTTGAGAAGCCGGTCATCCTCAACTGTTAATCATGATGGCACTTCCCCAGACTATGTGCAAGGAAATATAGATGTTTCGGAATGTGTATTTCAGCTATCTATCTCGTCCCGAAATCCCTACCTTGAGTGAGGGCATGAGAAACACATCATGGATACTATACAAAATCATCCTGCACAAGCTTCACTTAGTGACAGTGTCGGAAATTTGCAAAGAATTCGCGCCTTCCTTCGGATTCGGTTGAGGGATTATGAGGTACTGGATTTTGATGCCGGTGATGCTCGGTGGCAGTCTCCTCTTAATACCATGTGGCAATAGATATATTTTTGTCTGAGGTCTGGCTATTACGATGAAGCAAGAAATGTTGCTCTATCTTCGCGTGCTTCACATCAATTTGCTCCTTTACCCACAGAGTGGCTTAATACCGGAAGAATGGTGCCAGAAGAGGTTGTGACTGCTGCATCAGAGGAATGTGAAAGAATGTTGAGAACCGGTGATCGGGTAGGCCGAACGGCATATGATAAGAAAACTTTGCTGTTGTATGCCATCATATCAGGTTCTCGAAGACATATTGATCGCCTGCTTAGAGATCAACAGACTCTTTTTAGTTCGATAGAGGATTTCTTGTGGTTCAAATTGTCAGCTGTGAGGGACCAACCGACAATGTCTGTCCAGGAGAACGATCATATTAGGAACATGGAAATGGATTTAAGGAAGACAAGTGTGCATGGCAAAGAAGTTTCTTCTCAAACATCGGGAAATCAAGAATCTAGTTTTATCAAAAATGCCACACAGAGAGGAGACAACCTTGCAATTTTAAAAGAAGAACTGAAGAGTCAAAAGAAGCATGTAAGAAATTTGAAGAAAAATCACTGTGGTCCAAGATTTTGGAAGAGGTGATGGAAAAGCTTGTAGATATCGTCCATTTTCTATATTTGGAGATAAACGAAGCATTTGGTAGTGTCGATATGGATAAGTAAGTGAAAGATTCTCAAGGCAACCATAAGAAGTTAGGGCTTCTGGTCTTGCTTTACATTATGCAAACATTATCACTCAAATTGATACTCTGGTGTCTCGATCAGGTTCTGTGCCTCCCAATACTCGGGATGCTCTATATCAAGGGCTGCCTCCTAATGTAAAATCAGCACTGCGCTCGAAGTTACAGTCATTTCAGGTTAAAGAAGAGCTTACTGTCCCACAAATCAAAGATGAAATGGAGAAAACATTGAAGTAGCTTGTTCCTATTGCTGCTAACACAACCAAAGTTCATCATGGCTTTGGATGGGTTGGAGAATGGGCAAACACAGGGTACGACGTCAAACCTGCGGGCCAGTCAGACTTATTGAGAATTGAAACACTACACCATGCCGATAAAGATATAACAGAATTGTATATGCTTGAACTGGTTGTCTGGCTACATCACCTAGTCAGCCAAGTAAGAGTTGGTAACGGTGGAATAAGGTCCCCTGTCAAATCTCCGATTCGTTCTCCTAACCAGAAAACATTGCAATTGTTTACATAAAAAGGTTGTTCTACTTCTCCCTTGTTAACAATCGAAGATCAACAAATGCTTCGAGATGTTGGCAAGAGGAAACTTACGCCCGGAATCAGTAAAAGTCAGGAATTTGAAACTGCCAAGACTAGGTTGAGCAAACACCATAGGCTAAGCAAGAGTAGTAATCATTCCCCAATCAGTGAAAGCAAAAACGATGTATTCTGCACAAGACGGCGGCTACCTTCTGTTCCTTTCATTGACTTTGATATTGACCGAATAAAGGCCTTGGATGTCATTGATAGGGTGGATAGCATTGGAGGTTCATAATTGTTATTATTTAATGGATTTTTTTGGCTTGTTCAATATGAATGCTCCCCTTTGTTTCTGTTTTGTTGATTTGCTGGGCAAGGTAATAATCATTTTGAGATTGATGTATTGTGGCATGATGGGAACAAAGGGGAGTCTACCAGTTACCCTGCCAAATCCACTATCAAAGGCGACAGCAATGATCTAAGTGTTGAAGCCTGTACTGAAAAGTTTGCTGGAGAAAAGATTTAGTTGTCTGGCTGTTGTTTTGATGCACTCGTACACTTTCCCGCAGCATGAACAACAGGTTGAGAGGTTCGCACCAGATCTTTGACGCCTTATGCAAGCTTTCTGCAGATTCAAATGCCAACGTACACGTGTTGCAGCAGCTATCACTCGCCTCTTGCATTCTCAGAAAGTTGATAATGCTGTTGCAGATTGTGTGAATCGTGTCGGCATTGTTCTTGCGTTAGTTTCCTTGTTGGACTCTTCTGTCAATGAATCTGTTTCCACATCAGAGGAGCTTGAACACGGATATTCTGATCGGGATGCTCTCGTGCGTAATTCAGGAACTCGCCTTTCAGTTTTTGCATATGAATGCAGTCTCCAAATCATTTGAAAAAACAGGGTAATATTACAACTGGAGATACTTATTCAAGCAAGTCAAAACGTATCCATATTAAGCCATATTTCCAAGCCATGTTAATATAATTCCAGCTGTTACACTCCAAGCTGACCCCACAAGCTTTAAAGTTGTTTCTAAGCCATGAGCCAATTGCAAAAAAGTGAATAACACGTCAGCTACAAAGAAAAAGCAAAACGACATGAAAAAAATATCAGCAAAAAGTCACGCACAACTTGCATCACAAAACGCAGTGAAAATTTCACAAACGGCAAATCATTTTTTTCTCACTCTCATCTATAAATAGGATGCATACCTCTTCATTTTTCTAAAGCTTGAATAGCCCCTCATCACTCTGCAAAAATCAAACCAAACTTCAATCCAAATTTTCCATCATCTCTCAACTTCCTCGCATAGCTTCAAACGAACCTTCAATCACCTTCAAGCTTCATAATCCTTGAAAATTCATCCGCATTTCCCTTCATATTTTCTTTAACCTTCACCAACAAAACCGACATTCAATTTCGCATCTCAATATAAATCGCGACAACTCTTCATCAACATCAACGAACAACAACAGCTCGAGTGTAATTTGCAAAGAAGAAGAAGAAGAGAATTCTGTTTCACCGTTCACCTGAATTTGAAGGTAGTCTGAGACATTTCCGATGTTTTCGATCTGTTACTTCTAGTTGCATTTGTTTGAACCGTCGATGCTGTTGTGTGTAATTCTTGATATCGATCACAACCGTGTTGGTTTCGCTTCCCGCCGTTTTGATTTTAGCAAGCTTGGAATCATGGCTATGGTGGTAAACGGTGCCGCGTGTGAAAATGAAGAAGATGACCAAGTTATTCTGATCCTCATTTCTTTTCTATTTTAGTTTTAGTTTTTTTTTCTTTTCTCAAAAGGATATCGGGCTGTTTGGGCCTTTTTACTATCATCACTATTTTTTTTTTATTTTAAAACCTCCATTTCCTTTTTTCAATTTCATTTTAATTTTTTTTCTAACATTTTTTTTTTCTTTTGAAATAATTTATTAAAATAGATTTTTGTTTTGGATCTTGAATTTTGATAAGATCTCATCAATATCAATGGACTTTGAGTGTTGATTTTATCCACTAAAAGAGGTGATTGATATTGATGATGATTTAATTGATTTAACATTCAAATTGAAATTTCTTTTCATTTTAATTTTCTTTCTTCTTCTTTTTATTTTTTATCGATGAAATCTATGGATCATAGATTGTTGATTATCAAGGTTGTTTAATCTTCATTATTTCAAATCTATGGATGAATAATCATTGAGATAATTCTCCGTACTTTGGAATAGTGATAGATTATCTTTGATTAATTGATGAAAGATCTTGATTGTGATGAGATCATTACCTCTTTTCTTTTTGTGTGGCATGTTTTAGGAGAGTGATTTACATATCACTTCTCTAACATGTGTTAACACTAACATTATTATTGACCGGCCTCAGATAGTCGTGGTTTCTACATAAACCCGATTACGATTGCTTAACATAGCGCTAAAGTGTCCCTTAATCGGAAAATGATCACTCGTGGCTCAAACTTACGTTTAAAAGTCCAAGTATGTTTAGTTGCTTGTCTTAAGTCCAATACCTATGAAAATCATTGTTAGGAGGCTTTGATTCTATCAATCCTCTAATGAGTTTTCATTAACTTTGGTCTAAAGTGCAAGAATTAATCATTATTGATCATATGTTCTAACCACTAATTACTCATTCACTAACAATATCCTTGTTTAATTTTGTTTATATTCTCTTCTTACTCCTTATTTCTTTACTTTTATGCTTCCATATTATCATTTCATATCATATCTTTGTTTATGTTTATGTCATTTCTCTTTTGTCCACTTGGACCATACCTTGTTCAAAACACTAATAAAGGATAAAAAATCTCTAAAAAACTTGGTGATATTAACTTTGTGGTTATGCTCTTGGACTACTCTTAGACCTTGGACTTCATGGACCTTCGGACTTAGAATTAGGACTCTCATTCCTATGCTTGGAGTATTGTGGATATTAGCCTTTATTTGGCTCGCTCATTAGCTTATGCTTTAAATCGGATGGAATTCTTTTTGCTTGCTCTGGAATGCACTTCAAGTTGGTTAGATCTTTCTTACCTCTAGCTTTTATTTTGTTTTCTAGGATAGTCACTTCATCTCCTCCCCTTCTTAAATTTTCAAAACTTTTTCCCTCTTTCAAAACCTTCTTGGTTTCAAACTTCAAAACCGCTTTCGTAATAAAACCTTGACTTTCGTCAAGTGATTTTCAAACTTTGTTCTTCTTAATAAAAGTCAATCAATGTTAATCATGCTTTGACCAATTTCAAAAGACATAAAAAAAAATACAAAAACTCATCAACTCTTTTTGTGCCTTTATGCACTTTTTCACTTTAAAACTTTTCATAAAGTTTAGACATGATTCATTTCTATAGTTGAGATGTAATTCTCCTATTCCCCATATTATTAAGACTTTGACATTTTCCACGTTGATGTTGAGTGATAGTCTTGTTGATAATCCAAGCAAATCCTCCATCTTTATGTGACGCAGATGTTGTCTTAATACTCGTGGGTGAATAGTCGCAGTTTTCTCCTTAAAATGACGACTTGTCTTTACATCTAAAATCAATCAAAACCAACAAAATTTTGTCAATTGTACCATGAACTACGGGGTTTTGATCCCATATTGCACTTTGTGGGTACGTAGGCATGAGACGATAAGTCTCTCCAAACACAAAAATCTAAAAAATAATTCTCTTCTCATCTCCCCAATCTCTTTTCAAACAAACCATTTTCAAACCAAAAAACGTAAATATTTCAAAGGGCTCCTATAGAGTACTATAGACGTTTTGGGTGCTAACACCTTCCCATTGCGTAACCAACCCCCTTACCCCGATCTCTGTCTCGTGTTCTTATTTTAGAACTCTTTGGTTTTGTTCGCTCTTTTTCCTTTCCTTTATTTGGATAAAATAAAAGTGCGGTGGCGACTCTTGTTTTTTGAGTTAAGTTAATTAATAACTTACGCTCACGATTTTTACCGCTACACCATTGACTGCCAATTACTCGATGGCCTCCCGGAGGAGGGACAAGGTCCCAAACATCATTCCTTTTAAATTGATTTAATTCCTCTTGCATTGATAAGAACCAGTGTTCATCGAGTAATGCCTCTTTAGGGTGTTTAGGCTCAATCTAAGAGACGAAATCAAAGTGATAACAAAAGTTACTTAGCTTGGGTATTGTAGTTACCCCCTTTGAAATGTCACCGAGAATGTTGTCGGTCGGATGGTCTTTAGAGGACTTCCAAGCTAGAGGAAGGTAATCATTGTTAGTCAGATGATCCTCCTCAATCTCCTCATGATGCTGATCTTTTTCCTTCTCAACTTTCACTGCTTCAGGTTGATCAATCCATTTTTTAGCGTCCTTGAGTATGTATTTTGAAGATGCACCTGCACCATGAAAAGAAATACCTTTTCTGACATTTTTTAGATAAGTTTCATCAAAAGTAACGTGTATGGATTCTTCAACAATAAGTAACCTCTTAGTATATACCCTATATTCCTTACTAGTCTGAGAGTATCCAAGAAAGACACCTTCATCAGCCTTAGAATCAAACTTGCCAAGGTTCTCCTTACCATTTTCAACATAAAACGTTTACAACCGAATACATGAAGGTGAGATACAGTGGGCTTCCTCCCTTTCAAAAGCTCATACAGAGTTTTGTTAAGAATAGGATGGATGAACATCCTATTTAAAACATAACAAGTCATATTAATGGCATCGGTCCAAAAGTATTTAGGAAGGCCACTTTCATTGATCATAGTTCTTCCCAATTCTTCCAAAATTCGATTTTTACGTTCCATAACCCCGTTTTGTTAAGGGGTACGTGGCGCGAAAAAATTATGATCAATTCCATGCCTATCACAAAATTCTTCAAAGAGATGATTTTCAAGTTAACCTCCATGATCACTTAGAATTGTTACAATGTTTGTGTTCTACTTGTTTTGAGAGAGCTTGGCAAAATTTTCAAAAGCCAAAAAAGTATTGCTCTTGTTTACTAAGAAAATAGTCTAGCAAAACCTAGAGTAGTTATCGACAATCACAAAACCATAGTAATTACCTGTCGCACCTCAAAAAATCACTTAGAGATAATTCAAACATACGAACCCCACGCTAAAGGCGCGGAATGCGGCTTGACAGAGTCGCCACCGAACTTTATTTGTCCCAAAAAGGGAAAGGAAAATACCGAGAAAAACTTTTAAATGAAAGACAAGAACACGGTCGTGCAACCAATGTTCCGGGTTCGGGAGTCGGTTACATAAGGGGAAGGTATTAGCACCCCTCACATCCGTTGTACTCAAAGGGAACATCTTAATTTG